AGTAAACTTTGAATTGCCCGTGATAATCCCGCTCATTTGACAGTAGCTTGAATTGACAGTTGTAGTAGCTTGAGTTAGGATGCAGATGTAAAATTATGTTCATTATCAAAAACAATAACATCTGTAAAAATTGTATCAACCTCATTTTTATACAGTGAAACTGAATTATTCTGACCGTTTTATATTTATTATAAATTAACCATTGGTCTTCCATAGTAGCAACTACATGGTTTCTAGGCATTTGTATGAAAAACAGTACATTCAGTATAAATGCACATACGCCATAGCTTAATCACAGAGAATACTGAAATTATATTCCATTACTCCTTTATTACATATTTATATTAATAATATAATACGATTTGATGTGAATATCCCACATTTCTGACACACTACCATGGTGCAGTTAGTGTTACTACAGTACATCCATGGTAAATGATTGTGATTTGTAGACGGGAAAGCCTTGTATTGTACCACACAGTGTTTCTCTTGTTTGTCAGTGCTGTTTCATCTACCTTCAAACTAGTTTAAATCACAGCGTCATCTGTGTTCTTCGCTGAATTCAAGCGCTTCACACTGGATCTCACAGCACTGTTTAGTGCTCGCGTGATCGAGACTCATCAGTGAGTAAACGCATCTGCTCTAGTAAAGTTGCGTTGCGCTGCCGTTTGAACTTTGACCCTTACGAAAATTAACCATGCACTCTAAAAAATGCTGGGTTAAATACAACCCAGTACTGGGTAAAATAGGGACAAACCCAGCAATTGGGTTGTTTTGACCCAGCGGTTGGGTTACTACCCAGAAGGTTGGGTTAAACATTTAACCTAACCGCTGGGTCAAAACAACCCAATTGCTGGGTTTGTCCCTATTTTACCCAGCACTGGGTTGTATTTAACCCAGCATTTTTTAGAATGTTTTTATTAAAGTAAAATTGTAGTAACCATGGTTCTTTGGCTTATTGACTACCATTTAAGTTTTACTACAAACATCATGGTTAAACTACACTCTAAAAAATGCTGGGTTAAATACAACCCAGTGCTGGGTAAAATATGTACAAACCCAGCAATTGGGCTGTTTTGACCCAGCGGTTGGGTTAAATGTTTAACCCAACTTTCTGGGTAGTAACCCAGCCGCTGGGTCAAAACAACCCAATTGCTGGGTTTGTCCCTATTTTACCCAGCACTGGGTTGTATTTAACCCAGCATTTTTTAGAGTGTATAGTTAGTATTTCAAAACTATGGTTATTCTGTGGTTACCATGGTTTAACTATAGTCACCATGGTTTTTTTGGTTTTATTTGTAATAAAACCATAGTTAATTATCGTAAGGGGAGCCGAGCGGATAAATGGTCCATGTTGCGCGTTTCAAATGAGTAGCTCTGTTTCGTTCCGTTTTTGCCGCATAAACATTATATCGAACATTTATCAAACTCTTGTTGTTTTATTGAGCAAAATTATATCACTATAATTACCATTATCGTTAGCGCCCAGCCCTACCACAAAGCATATCCCCAGGTTGAGAACCACTGCCTAGAAGATCCATCGCCACCTCGTTGAATCAACGCCTCGCCGCTACAGGTTATTAGGGAGGTGGTCATAATGTAATGGCTCATTAGTGTAGTTTACAGAGTAGGATATTTAATAGCACAATAATATTCTCTATTGACTCACAATTGGAAGATTCTCATAAATCGTAACATTCTCATACAGAGGGATGTTCATTTTAGGATCAGGTTTTTTACTGTAAGGATGAACAGCCTTCATGAAAGAGAGAGAGAGAGAGAGATACATGAGAACCAGGAGAAAAAGGAAAACACAACTAGTCTTGAAATGATATTGTCTAGGCTTGAATAAAAAGCTGTACACTCACCACCGCATTCTCATACACATATGATAACAGACTAGGATCAGATATTATGCTCATGTCATCAGAGATGTTTGTGAGGGACTGAAAAGAAGAAGAAAAATGTCCAATAGTGTTGCCATCAGCATTCCAAGACAGAAGAGTGGAGGATCAGAGTAATAAAATGAAAACATATAAAACAAGAATGGCATACATTATAAAATGCATCAGTAAACCTATTTCCGCGTTTGTTCAGTTGTGCATTTTTGTGGGTAAACGGAAATCTAGTGCTCTGTCAGTAGATTAACAGAACCAACATTTTACTGTACAATAAAGCAAATGATTACAAACATTTCAATACTTTATCTGATGCATGATGTAGCCTCTAAGAGTTATTTGTAAATTAATCATTCATCTGAGTCATATCTTTTCAGTGACTCCAAGTGATCCGGTTCAGTAAACCAGACTGACTGATTCTTTCACAAATCAGACTGAATCGCCTGAAACCTCTTTTAGTCAAGTCCATCTTAGAGTGATCTGAGTTATGATCTGAGTTAACTGTTTCTTACGTATGGCTTTATTATAATGCTTTCTAGTATATAAAATATCAAAGCACATGCGCTAATGTAACGAATAATTCGAATGCATTTTGTTTGCAAGGTGGGTCAACTACTAGTGATAAATAAAAAATAAAAAAAAAATTAAATAAATAAATTAATAAAATATTGTATTTGAACAAAGATTAATTTTAGTAAAATCTTTCCTTTATTTGTTGGTTCTTTCGCTATATTTTTCCTCATTCATTTTTAATTACATTAAAATTTTCATTTTTAAATTTTTAATGACATCTTTCCCTTCAGGGCCCCCTATTGGGCAAAGCGTGTATTTGAGCCCATATTGTAGTGAAACTGACTGACCTCGGACTGCAGTTTGTTCCTTTTTACACAGCTGCTCGAGAAAAAAAACAAAAACAACAACAAAAAAACTTATATTAACATATATATTAACATCACCCAATATTAAATCACATAACTAACATGAAAAGGAAAACTCTGACTCTTACCAGGTTAGTAATGCAATGATGACAGCAGCTACAATTCCACAAAGTGTTACTACAATGGCTGTATGAGATATATTCCAATATAGTACTGAGACAAGATGAAAGATTAAGAGAAATTGATCAGTTTGACTCAGTTCAGAAGGATTCATGTAAGTAAATGAGCTGCTCTACCTTTAACAGTGACAGCAACAGCATCTGATCTCTGAGATCCGTGTTGATTGTGAGCCTCACAGTAGAAGCGTCCACTCTGTAGTGCACTGAAACTCTGTCCAGATCCAACAGCTGAGCTTTGATTCTCCTTAAACCAGCTGATTTCTGCAGGTGGGTTTGAATCACTGCTGCAGCTCAGAGTCATTGGATCTCCCTCCACTATT